AGTGATTCTATGAAGGTTCTCAAAAGTAACTATGGGTCTATCTCGTTTCCTTCTCCATGTTACAAACAAATGCACAAAGACATAATACCCTTACCACTATGTGGTGTAGGGTATAAAAATAAAATGGTTTACACATCGTATTGGAGTCATATACAAAAAATGGAGCATACTTTTAGGCACTCTCCACATTTGTTAAATAAAGTTTTGGAGTATTTTAACCTATATGTTTACAGTATTTATGGGTATGGTAAAAAAATATGTAATTGTATAGCATAGGATAGTATATAGCACATTGTTGTTTTCTTTTTTTTTTGAGAGCGCATAAAAGTATGCTATACAATTTTAAATACGAATGTGTAAGTTTCTCTTTATTTATAGCTCCAAAATAATATAAATAAAAGTATAAACTAGACTTTAGGAAGAATATAATAAATTTATATTCCTTGTTGGGTTTTTCAAAAAATCTGCGATCGGAAATGATTAAAATTTTGATATAAGATCAAGGTCTAAAAATACTTTTTATACCCTCCATCATACTATGGAGGGTATACAGGATTGTCCATATTCGACGGACCCATCTGGCAACGCCATAACTTTTGACAGAGATGTCACATCGCTTAATGACATACCGCGTTTGAAGCGTCAGTCCAAGCAGATTTTTACCATGAACCAATGCACGCCACGCGAGCGCTCAGAAATAGTTGAAATTTACATTCATCAGTAGAAGTCAATTGTGAAAACTCAACGTGCTTTTAAAACATTAAAAAATGTGAGTGAGTGCGCCTTCTAAGCGTTTATACGAAACATTTTCGACTGGTAAGACTCTTTCTAATCCGAAGAGGCCATATAAAAGTCGACAAAGGCGATCGGCCGAGAATATCGCTGCCGTACGAGCCAGTGTTGCTAGGTCCCCAAGAACATCCCAAAAACGCCGTTCTCAGCAGTTGGGCATGGCTCGGTCCACTTTACAACGGATTATTCGCATTGATTTGCATTTGTTCCCGTACAAAATTCAATTGACGCAAAGAATGTTGCCTGCGGACAAGTCTCGTCGATTGGAATGGGCCCAAAGAGTCATGGGTCCGTCGAATATGTGCAACACTGTATTAACCTTGTCATTCCATTTGTAACTCCTCGAAATACTCATGTCAGACCCAACAAAGTATATATATTCTTGATCAGCGTGAAATTCTTAGTTGATTTAGCGATGTCCGTCTTTCTGCCCGCCTGTCTTTTGTAATCCCGCTATTTTTCGAACGAATTGAGATAGAAGGCTAAAATTTTGCATACATGCATAGATTACCAGTAGGCAGGTTAAGTTAGTATATGGACCATGCCGGTCCACGTTTTCGTATTGTCCCCATATAAAGGTACCTCCCGATATTCGGTATTTTGATGATTTTAGCTACATTATTCACCGGAGTTGTTTCAAATTTGGTATTTGAAGTTCGTAATGGGTACTACAGCCTATGACAAAAAATTTTATATGCAAGTCCACGTCTTCGTATAGCCTCCATATAACGTCACCTCCCGATATTCGGTATTTTGATGATTTTAGCGACATTATTCACCGGAGTTGTTTCAAATTTGGTATTTGAAGTTCGTAATGGGTACTACAGCCTATGACAAAAAATTTTATATGCAAGTCCACGTCTTCGTATAGCCCTCATACAACGGTACCTCCCGATATTCGGTATTTCGGTGACTTTACCGACATTATTATTATTTGAAATTGTTTCAAATTTTGTATTTGTAAGTTCCTTATAGACACTACAGTCTGTGACAGAAAATTGTCTGTGTAGGTTCACGTCTTCGTATAGCCCCCATATAACGGTACCTCCCGATATTTGGTATTTTCATGATATTAGCGACATTATTCACCGGAATTGTTTTAAATTTGGTATCTGAAGTTCGTAATGGTTACTACAGCCTATGACAGAAAGTTGTCTCTGCAGGTTCACGTCTGCGTATAACCCCCATATAACGGTACCTTCCTATATTCGGTATTTTGATGATTTTAGCGACATTATTCACCAGAATTATTTCGAATTTCGTATTTGGAGTTCTTAATGCGTACTACAGCCTATGAAAAAAATTTTTGTATCCAGGTCCAAGTCTTCGTATAGCCCCCATATAACGGTACCTCACGATATTTGGTATTTTCATGATTTTAGCGGCATAATTTACCGGAATTATTTCAAATTTGGTATTTGAAGTTCGAAATGGATACTACAGCCTAATACAGAAAATTGTTGGTATAGGTGCATGTCTTCGTAGAGCCCCATATAACGGTAACTCCCAATATTAGGTATTTTGATGATTTTAGGTACATTATGACCGATTTTTTTTTAAGTTCCGCATTTGAATATTGTAATGGTTTATGACAAATGTTACTTATGCAGGTCCATATCGTCGTATAGACTTTGATATAACCGCTCCATTCGGTATTTTTAGACTTTAACATAATTTTTAACGGATTTTATGGGATTTGCCTTACAGCTTTTTTACCTGTTTTTATACCCTACGCCACAAGGTGGTCAGGGTATTATGTATTTGTGCATTTGTTTGTAACAGGCAAAAGGAAACATGATAGACCCATAGTTCCTTTTGATGATCTGCATAGAATCACGTTTTGAGTCGATGTATTTTTGTGAACAAAGTACAGTTCGCATTTATTACCCCATCCAAATCATTTGTTTGGCCCAAGGACGAAGCCTATTGAAATTGGAGATAATAGGTCAAAATTTAGATATAGCTCCGATATATATCTTTGTCCGATTTGCTTTTTATTGTACACCAAACGTATAATATCAGCCCGAATAGTATGACATTTTGCACATACAACCAAATTAGGCCTGAAAATAAGTATGCCAAATTTTATCGAGATCAGTTCAGATTTGGATATAGCTACCATATATAACTTCGTCCGATGTACGTTTTATTGTGCACCAAACGTCTAATATTTGTCCAAATGAGATGGATTTTGGGACTTACGACCGAATTGAGTCTAGAAGCTAGTATGTTAAATTTGATGAAGATCGGTTCAGATATAGCTATAGCTCCCATATATACTGTTCATCCGATTTGTTATATTTGTTATCCATAGCCGTAATATGCACTCCGTAACAACGATGTTGGCTCAAGGACGAGCCCTATTGAAATTGGCGATAATCGGATTTAGATATAGCTCTCATATGTATTCAACCGGTTTCGGGTTAATTGTGCACCAAATGACTAATATAAGTCCGAATTCGCTGTATTTTCTTACATCCCACCGAATTCAGTCTACAAGCAAATAAATCAAATTTGGAGAAAATCGGTTCTTATATAGGTGTAGCTCCCATAATGGCTAATATCAGCAAGAATGTACTGAATTTTGGCAATTACGACTGAATTCAGCCTATAAACCTATACTTCAAATTTGGTGTATATCGGTTCAGATATAGCTATACATACATGTTCTTTTTATCCGATTTGGGGTTTAAAATCCCTTACAAGCGTAATATGCAATTCAGAACAATCATATTTGGTTCCAGATGTCAGATACAGCCAAATTTTGTCAAAATCTGTTCAGATTACATACAGGGTTGCCCATATTCGACGGGCCCATTCCAATAGACGAGGCTTGTTCGCAGGCAACATTCTTTGCGTCAATTGAATTTTGTACGGGAACAAATGCAAATCAATGCGAATAATCCGTTGTAAAGTGGACCGAGCCATGCCCAACTGCTGAGAACGGCGTTTTGGGGATGTTCTTGGGGACCTCTCAACACTGGCTCGTACGGCAGCGATATTCACGGCCGATCGCCTTGGTCGACTTTTATATGGCCTCTTCGGATTAGAAAGAGCCTTACCAGTCGAAAATTTTTCGTATAAACGCTTAATGGTGTTCTTAGAAGGCGCACTTCTCACATTTTTTAATGTTTTAAAAGCACGTTGAGTTTTCACAATTGACTTCTTCTGTCGAATGTAAATTTCAACTATTTCAGAGCGCTCGCGTGGCGTGTATTGGTTCATGGTAAAAATCTGCTTGGACTGACGCTTCAAACGCGGTATGTCATTAAGCGATGTGACATCTCTGTCAAAAGTTATGGCGTTGCCAGATGGGTCCGTCGAATATGGACAACCCTGTATAAGTCCCTTATTTAGTAATATTTCCAAATATTACCAAAGCAATCTACTTCTCTACTGTAGATACCAACAGTGATTCAAAATACCATTTAGTACTTTTCGAACAAATATAGGATGAATTTTCAAAACCCCCGCCAAATCTCCATCTGTAATATAAATATTAAATTTAAAACTTAGTTTCATTTCACACGTACTACCGACATACCACAGTCCTACAATGCAATGGTAATCTTATTTCCAAATTTCAGCAATCCAACTCTAATCGATTCACCCAAATCGAAATTGTACCAAATTTAGTACCATTTAGTACTTTTCGTGCACATTAAAACAACTTTCGAGCACAACCTCTATATCCCATTTCTATTTAGCTCTAACCGTTCACATGTTACGAAATAGTACAATTTAGTATTTTTCGTACGCTTATTGTGCGAATTTCCTGAACCCTTCCATCATAGACTCCATCGTGACCGTAATTTCAAATTCTAGCTCTACTGGTTCGATAAATCCAATAAAATACCATATTTAGTATCTTTTAGTCCTTTTCCTACCGTTCTAGACGAATTTCCAAAAACCCAGCCTTATCTGACCCCTTCGGACCAAGAGTGACCCTCACCCAAAATTTCAAGATTCTAGCTTCAGCCGTTTCGTCTTGATGAATCTTTAAGTCAATATATGATATATGAAAAATCACTTTACCTATGACCCTTACATGATGTGTAAACTGCCCTTGAATTGTGTACTTGGTGAATTTATGTTGCTCTAATTTGCGATACAAATGACATTTGGAAAATAATAATTTAATTTATTTATTTTAAAATTTAATATTTAATTAAGTATTCAATACTACTATGTCATTATTTTCTTTACAGAGTTTTAGATGATAATCTGATTAATTCACTGCCCGAAGGCCTAAATAAATTGACGCATCTACAGGAATTGTAAGTAAATGAATATTTGAATATGTGTATATGTAATTATGTACATTTATAATAAAGAATATAAATTTCGAAAAGAAATGTCCCCTAAGGTAAGATTTAATATTAAAATGGTTGACTTTCATTCTCGCTTCAAGGATACGAAATAAAAATGTATTTTTATAAGAGGGAGAGAGAGAGAGAGGGAGAGAGGCAAATTTCTGGCAATTATTGCCCAAATTGAAACTTCATTAAAAATGATATGCTCCTGAATTGGTAGCGTTTATACCCTCCACCATACATAGTATGGAGGGTATATTAAGTTCGTCATTCCGAAATAACAATTTTAGACATAACAAAGTATATTGAGGGTGAGATAAAAAACTGCAACCAACTTCAGACCGCTGTCATTTCTAAGTCACTCGTCCGACAGCTGTTAAAATTATTCCACTGACAGGACATTATATTGTTTACAAGAGTACAAAATCATTATGGTGAAAATTTCCAGAAAAAATGTTATTAGTGATGGAATTCAAGCGTGATGGTGTGATTTCTTTATATTTGGCTGGAAAACCACAAGTGGCTATCGTTAGAGCACTCCAGTATTTGAATGTGAAAAAATCTTTTGTGTCTCGTACCATTGACCGTTACCGTGATACTGGAGCTAAGAACGACGTCAAGGAAGTGGACGGAAAAAAAAACAGCAACATCAGCAGAAATGGTTCGAAAAGTAAAGAAGCGACATTATCGAAACCCGCGTCGCGGTGGCCGAAAAATGGCTTGTGGGCTGAACGTATCGCAATATTCCATTCGGCAAATATTGAAAAATGAGCTCGTGGTAAAGCCTTTAAAATTCCAAAAAGTGCAAGAACTTACACCGCAACAGAAAGAAAATAGACTCAAAAGAGCTAAAGAGTTGCTTCGCTTGGCCGAAAGTGGTGAACTGCCGAATTTGGTTTTCTCTCTCCCCGATGAGAAAACAGTATTGTCCAGCAGTTTGTAAACCAACAAAATGATCGTGTTTACTTGCCAAAGAGGTCAGCGGAAAATGTGCACATCCAATTGCCAACCAGTACTCAAGCGCCGGCCATGGTGATGGTGTGGGCCGCCATAACAGACGATGCTCGCTCTCCGCTCTTACAAATCGACCTTGGCATCAGAATAAATGCCGAATATTATGGCGAAAATATTCTGGAGGGTATATTAATGCTTTGGGCACCCAAACATTTTGGCCGCAGATCTTGGGCATTTCAACAGGTCACAGCATCATCGCACTCAGCACGCCACTGCCACCCAAGAATGGTTACAAAATGAGGTTCCTCGCTTCATTTTCAGCGCACAATGGTCACCAATCCGTTGGACTGTTGTGTCTGGAGTATTTTGGAAAACAAGGTTGGCACTAAAAAATACCAAAGGGTCGATCATCTCAAGCAAGCGCTTCGCCGGAAATGGGCCAAAATACCGCAGATCATCACTCGGGCAGCGTGCGATGGTTTCATTGGCCGTTTGAAGGCCATAATTCATGCTAATGGTGACCAATTCGAACAAATCTAAACTTATTCTAAAATTTGATGGTATTTCCGACATTTTTTTGCTTTCATTCAATAAAATTAAAAAAAGTGTAAAAATTATGGCGTTTGATTTTTTTGCGGTTTTTTATACGCTCCACCATAGTATGGAGGGTATATTAAATTTGTCATTCCGTTTGTAACACCTCGAAATAGACATTTTGGACCCCAAAAAGTATATATATTCTTGATCAGTATAAAATTCTACGTCGATATAGCGATATCCGTCCGCCTGTACGTCTATTCGTCTGTCCGTCTGTGGAAATCACTCTAGCTTCCGAACGAATTGAAGTAGATTCATAAAATTTTACTCAAATGTATGTTATGTCTGCAGGACTTTTGGTATTGAAAATGGGCCATGTAGGTCCAAGTTTTGGTATAGCCCCGATATAACGGTACCTCCCGATATTCGGTATGTTTATGATTTTAGCAGATTTATTTACCGGAATGCGAAGTTCGTAATGGATATTACAGCCTAAGACAGAAAATTATCTGTGCAGGTCCACGTCTTCGTATAGCCCCCATTTAACGGTACCCCACGATATTCCGTATTGATGATTTTATCTACATTATAACCGATTTTTTAAAGTTTCGCCTTTAAATATTGTAATGGCTTGTGACAAATGTTACCTATGCAGGTCCACGTCGTCGTATAGACTCTAATATAACAGCTACATTTGGTATTCTTAAGATTTTAACAGAATTTTTTAACGGATTTTATTGTTTTTGAGAATTGCAAAATTCGTTACAAATGGTGGAGGGTATTCAAACTTCGGCCTGGCCGAACTAACACCTTTTTTACTTGTTTTATCTCACCCTATAGCTAAAGCTCACAGGTTTCATCCGATATACATTCGACAAAAATAATAATATTTGGTACCAGATATCAGATACAGCCTGGAAATACCCTTTGCCAAATTTTATCTAGATCGGTTCAGATTTGATAAAGCTTCCATATATATCTTTAACCGATTTCGGGTTAATTGTGCACCAAATGGTCAATATCAGTCCAAATGACCTGCATTTTTGTACATCTGGCCGAATTGAGTGTAGAAGCAAGTACGTCGAATTCGGAGAAAATCGGTTCAGATATAGCTGTAGCTTCCATATATATGTTTCATCCGATTTGGTATTTAAGTCCTTTATATTTGTAATATGCATTCGACAACAATGTTATTTGGTACCAGATATCTTATAGAGCTCGGAAATACCTCTGTCAAATTTTATCGAGATCGTCTAAAGTTTAGATATAACTCCCATATATATCCGTAATCCGATTTCAGGTTTATTGTGCAAATATTTGCTAATATCAGCCCAAATAGAGTGATTTTCGGGACGCACGTTTTCTTTTTGTGGAATTCGGCTTCGATATATTTTTATACCCTACACCACAAGGTGGTCAGGGTATTATGTTTTTGTGCATTTGTTTGTAACAAAAAAAGGAAACGAGATAGACCCATAGTTCCATTTGATGATCTGCATAGAATCACAGTCTGAGTCGATTTATTTAGGCCTGAAAATAAATATGCCAAATTTGATCGAAATCGGATCAGATATAGCCATAGCTCCCATACATATTGTTCATCCGATTTGTTATTTTTTTCCTCCGCAGCCGTAATATGCACCCTGTAACAACAATATTTGGGGAAATATATCAAATGCAGCTCAGAAATACCTTTGCTAAATTTTATCGAGATCGGTTCAGATTTGGATATAGCTCCCATATATAACTTCATCCGATTTACCTTTTATTGTGTACCGAACGTCCGAATATTTGCCCAAATGAGATGGAATTTGGCACATATGACCGAATTGAGTCTAGAAGGTAGTATGCCAAATTTGGTGAAGATCGCTTCAGATATAGCTATAGCTCCCATACATATTGTTCGTCCGATTTGTTGTATTTGTCACCCACAGCCGTAATATGCACTCCGTAAAAACGATATTCGGGGAAATATATCAAATGCAGCTCAGAAATACCTTTGCTAAATTTTATCGAGATCGGTTCAGATTTGGATATAGCTCCCATACATACCTTTATAATTGTGCACCACATGGGCAATACAAGTCCGAATTTAAAAGATACAAATGCTTCGGCATATTTAGTCCTTTAGACCTTCTCCCCTAACAATTTTTAATTGTCATATGAAGCTCTACTGACTTAGCAGAGTGGTGTAGGGTATCATATAGTCGGCCCCGCCCGACTTTTGACTCTTCCTTACTAGTTTTTTATATCAATTTGATATTCTTTCTCTGTTAAGACATAAAACAGATCCCATGAATAAACAACTTTTAGGCCCATCAGACTACATCAGATTTTGACTTCCGTTTTCTCTTTTTCATCCCAATACGAAATCCTCCAATAACCTACAATTCCATAAAGTTTTCACATCAACCAAGACCCATGACATATCCTCGATGCAAATTTTGCATTCCAATAGACATCTACTCGTATCCTACACGCAGATGATATTACAGCATACAGACATCCGCAGATACATTCATATATTTCTCAATGGAATTCTATGGAGAAATGTTTGTTATCCTGTGGTGTCGGCAGTAAAAACTAAACAGGCAAAAATGGAATGCGGGTGAAATAATGACAAATGCCAAGAAATAACATCAAGCGGCGGTGGCGGTGGGCGCGGCAGAGATAGAGACGATGTTAACCTCCTTAGTTGATATTAGACGAGAGCAAACACGAGGTGGTTGGTGGATAACATTTCCCTCGGCCAAGTAGTTGACTGTCTTGTTGACTTAACCAAGAAGACATGCACGCACATGGCCATATCCTGGCCGAGACCACAAGACCAGAAGATAGGTGGCAAGAAAAATGTCATTCGCCCAACCATGACAAGTGACAGGGGATATCCAAGGGCAGGAGTAGGAAACGCCAACAGTCAAAGATACAACAACTGGCAGGACACATTCCAACATAAATGCCTGCACGCACACACACACACACACACATCAGCAACAGCAGCAAGAAAGTCAGTCATGTCTTTGGTAGAAAAACAAACTTCATGTTGACATCGAGCTTACAATGACACAGATCATGGCGTCTAAGCGAATAACGATTATCAAAATAATCATCATGATGAGGTGGAGGAGTAGGAGCAGGAAGAGGATGATGATGATTATGAAGATAGTAATAATGATGCAAAGGATGCTGTGGCGCTGCCGCCGCCTTTTCAACTTCCACACTGACATTTCATGGCAAAACGGCATTAAATGTGGCACATCGTCTCAGACAAGGCTAACCCAGTTACGTAGACTTAAAGAGGAGAGAATGTCTTTATTTATTTGGATTAATTTCGAAGTTTAAATAAAATTTTATTCAAAGAGACACGAAGAAATGGGAAAGAATATGGCTAGGAAAAATTAATGAAAATTTTAGATAATTTTAAAATAAGAAGATTTGAAATTCGGAATCGGGTGTAAAAACGCAGCCCTGAA